CCCGATGCGGGACTCGATCCCGGGACTCCAGGATCATGACCTGAGCCGAAGGCAGTCGCTTAACCAACTGAGCCACCCAGGCGCCCCTCAACCTTCTAGTTCTTGCCTCCCTCCTTCCTTCCTTCCTTCCTTCCTCTGGCTATATAACTTGTATAAGCCCCCCGGAGCTCTGTTTTGGAAAATTCTAAGCTGGGAGCTGAGGAGACCTTAGGGGGCTGTGGTACTGAGCTGGGTGACCTTTAGCAAGTCAATCACATCCCTCCCCACCTCCCCCCCACCCCGACACACACCCAGCTGTCCCTGCTCATAAAAGGGCACAAGAAGCCCTGGGCTCGGAGAGATTGTGAAGATGGATGAGTGGGGCCCGGCTTGGACAGATGTGGATAGTAGTCCACACCGACAATATCACAGAATCCTGAACCCGGCCACTGTGGCCACGAGCACTTGGGGACTCAGCTCTCGCTCTGGTCACCGGCTGGGCTCTGTCACCCTACCCTTGAAAGACTTTGGGAGCCCCTCCCATCCCCAGTGCCATTGGAGACATCATGGAAAAGGACCTATCTTTTTTATGGATTTGGTTGCTGTATCTCAGGGTACCATGGTGATGGGCACCATAGAGATGAGAAGAACTGACTTTTATTGGCTTGTCTCTTTGTTCCAGTGGCCCTCCTCAACCCCCTCCACACACACACAGCTCCTGGGTCAGTAGATCCAGGAGAGAAGGAGGCAGTGCAAGTAAGTGAAACAGATGAAAGGAGAAAAGCCTACTCTCTTTTCCCTCCCTCTCAATCATCCCCCTCTCCCTTTTCCCCTCCTCCCTCCCATTGCCAACAGCAATTGTATTCAAACCCGATAATTACAGTAACAGTGACAATAATCATCATTTATTGGGTTTGTTTTTCTAGCATTTTAACTTCCGAAAACATTTTCCAGTCTCTTGTTTGTTTTCACAGCAGGCCCTGGGGGAGGGCTGTGCCCATTTTATAGCTGGGGAAGCTGAGATCCAGATAGGGCCCCAAGTCATGGGGAGAGTATATTTATAGCAGCTTGTAAATATTAACAAACCAACTGAGACTAATAGTCCTTCAGAGGCACTGAACTGCAAATCTTGGTTTCTTGGGTCATTCCTGAGTTCTTACCATCCTTGGGGCTCATTTAGTAGCTTTTTGAGGATCCTGGCAGAATTGAGAATGAGGCTGGAGACAGCTTGTGGCCCAGATCAGGGACAGGTGGCTGGGATAGGGACCTACCCCTCTCAGGATTGTTCCCATGAATGGGGCTGTGGGGTGGAAGGTGGGCAAACATCTGGGGAGAGCCTACCCTGGGAAAGGCCTGTTTGGCCCAAACCTCCCTTGTGTCTATCCTGCCCCTCTGCCAGCCCTAGAAAAGGCTCCTCTGTGTCAGCTCTTCCCAAGGGCAGGGTCCTCTCCTGAGCGTTTAGAGGCGTGAGGAGTGAAGATCGATCAGAAGGACAGTCTTTGTCCTCAGGAAGCACCCACGCTGAGGGCTGGTCTGTAGCCCCCAAACCATACCCAGGAGCAGAGATAGCCCTATGAGGAGCTCAGAGAATGTTCCAGGATCCAATTCTTCTGGGAATTCTGGTTTTCCCCTCAAGGATGGGTAAGACATTGGGGTTCCCCAAGGTCTCTATAGCCCTTAGTGTCTAAGCTGAGTGGCTGTCTGGGCTCCAGTACCCAAGGCAAGGCGATCCAGAGGCTCAGGATGCCCACTAGGATCCAGATGGACGAGAGAAGGGGAGGGCAATCATGAATTTCCCTGCCTCCTTCTGCTCTGTCCCATTAAGAGATGTAGGAGGAGGAAACTGAACAGATTTGCTCCCCAGATTCTTTCTGTCTAGAAATATAACGCCAGGGATAGGGATTGGCATTCCCTGCCCACCCTGTTAGGACAAGAGGCCTAGCATCCCCATCCTTCCTGCCCTCATCCCCCCACCCCGGCCCCACCCCCTATAAAACCTGAAGTCTGGTTGTACAAGGCAAGCTACCCACCTAAAGGGCTCCTCTCAGAAGCCCAAAGGTGAGGGCCAAGTTCTATACCATCTGACACATGTTCCCCGTTTTAGTATCCCCTGAACTGGACTGGTATTCTCTCTTCTTGGGCTCCTTTTCTGCCACTTTCTCCATTTCTTCAGTTCCCATGAGGATGGCCAGTCGCTGGGCCATGGTCTTGGTGTCAGGGAACAGGATAAAGTTGTAGATGAGTGAAGCCAGGACAGCTCCTGTCAGGGGTCCCACCCGGAAGATCTGAGGGGGCAGAGAGGAGTGGGCATGAGTTATCAGGATCATAGGGTAGCTTTGGGACCCTCGCCTGGTTCCCTAGTATTAACTTGGTCTCCCAGGACCCCTCGAGCTGTCTACACGATGACAAAATGGAGAAGCAGGCATCCTGCCTGCCAAGTCTCTGCAGGTGAGGTGACCTTGCCTTGCACAGGGCAGGCCCAGTCTCCTCACCCCTCCTGTTTCCCTCCTCTCGCCTCCCCTGTTCCAACCAGGAGCCCTGGCTAAGTGCTGTTCCTGCTTCGGCTGGTGTGTGTGTGTGTCTATTTCTGTTTGTCTTTTTCTTTATCCAAGTTTGGAAACTGGTCCAGCTGGAGGAAGTGAATAAGGAAACAGCCAGGACTTGAGGCCTGGGCTGAGGCTGCATCTCCTGCCCTGGCCCATTTATCGACAGTCTACTGAGTCCCCTTGGCTATTGAAGCTGGAAAGAAAGGAAGTACAAGCCAGGATACTCACCTTCATCTTCTGAGCTTAGGGAAACCTCGCCTGGGGGTCAAGATGGTCTGTGGTAGGGGGACGTGTCTCCCCAAGTCCCTGTGGACCCCCCCTGGTGAAGGTCACTGTCCCTAAGGGCCCCTGCCCAGCCCCTCCCCACCTCACAGCGGCCAGCAGAGGCTCTCACCCAGTGGACCTTGAACTTCCCAACGATGATGGCGGGGCCAAAGGAGCGGGGCAGGTTCATGGAGCAGCCGGTGAAGTAGACCTGAGGGGGAGAGTGCAGGTTCAGGGTGTGAGGAGGCTTAGGGCAGGCCCGGGAGGGGACAGCCCCCTCTGCCCTGGCTTAGAGCCTTGGTCCCAGCCTTGGCCACTGTGGCGCCGTATCCCAGACCTGGACTGTGGGAACACAGCCTCCACCCAACGCATGAGGGGCTCAGGGAGGGACCCTTCCTGGCCTTCAGGGTCCCTGCAGCCTCCTCAGGGAGGGACCAATTTGTGCATGTACACGGTGTTCCCTTGGCCTCTTACCCCAATGAGGTGGCCCAGTGCCAGAGAGATCCCCATCATGGTGGCCGGGGAGCCCGATGCCTGGCGGCTATTGGTGGAAACGAAAACACAGAGCACCAGCTGCAGGGTGAGAACCAGCTCCACTGCCGCAGCCAGGCCCGTCGAGACGCTGCTCCGGACCTGGGTGCAGAGGCTATGCTGGAGGTGACGCGGCTCTGCCAGTGGGTGGTGACCCGCTCGGGCCTCATTTCCTCACCAAAAGGAGGTGACGCCGCACCACCCCGGTTCCAGGCCCCAGGGAGGTGGAGCGGGGAGAGCTGTACAGTGCAGTTAGGGTCAGCCCTGGACACCTGCTCCCTGTGGAAGGGAGTGGCCGCCCTCCTAGCCCCCTGGGGGGCTGCAGCCAGTAGTTGGCGAAGGGCTCAGTTCTGTTGGGGAAGGGAAGGCTCGGAGCAGGGGGTGCAGGTTTTTGGGCAGACTGGGAGGAGACCGGGGGTAGGAGGGGAAGGAGGAGATGGAGGGGGGGGATGTAGGTGGAAGGGTAGATGATTAGGGGAATCTGGGGGAGTGAGACAGGCCTCAGGGTGCTGGGGAAGGAGGAACATGGGGACGCAGAAGAGCAGGGCACACGGGGTGGACCAGAAGAGAAGAAGGGCATGCCGGGTCCCCTGCCACTACCCGCAGCCCCAGGCGTCCCTGGCTATCCTGACCCTTCAATGCCCGGTCCTTTCCTGACTCCTGCCCTTGCGCCACCTTGTACCATAACCCCGTTCCCGCTCTGCCTGCACTAAGGCCACGGTCTGGTTCCCCTGGGTCCCAGGGCGCAGCCCAGAGCAGGCAAGGAACACGGGGCTGAGTTATTTCCTCCCTGTCCCCTCTCCTCAGGCCTGGCCATCCACCCTTACCACCCGGGTGGGCATCCCTTTCCTGGTCCTGCCAGGTGCCCCTCCCTGCACCTACCATGTTAACCCCGAGGGTCTCTCGGATGTCTCCTGGGATGACCCCATAAAGCAGAGCAGACCCCACAGTGGCCCCGGCCAGCTGGGCAGCCACATAGGCCACAGCATGGGGCAGGGAGATTTGGGAGCCCACGAGGAAGGCGAGAGCACGGCGGGGTTGAGGTGGCCCCCGCTGGTCTTCCAGGTGATCTGCGCAGCCACAGCCGTGGCCAGGTTGAAGGTGATGGCGATCTGCAGCACGGTGGGAAGCGCCGAGGGCCAGGGCAGGGCTGAGCCCACGCCGAAGAACACATACGGCCCTGTGGCCAGGAACTCGGCGAACAGCGCCCTGCTGGTAGCTCTCCACAACGGGCAGGCCAGCATCCTGGCCCTGCGTCACCCGCCGGGCTGCCCTGGGTCCGGGCCCGGCTGCCTTGGCGGCTGCCTCTACTTCTCCTGGGACCTCTGCTTCTCTGGCCTCTGATCTCGGCTGTCTCTGGGGGTCTCTTGTCTCTGGCCTGCTCCTCTCCTTCGCTGCTGACCCTGTCTCTGGCCTGCTGGTCAGACTGGCAGGAGCAGGCTGACAGGCTTGTGTGCGTCTAGAGGGGGCGGTGGGAGGCGTGAGGCCCGTATGAGGACTGGTGCTCCCCTGCTTGCTCCGCCCACCCGGAGCTCCCCTCACAGCTGGGGGAGTGGGGCAGCCCCTAGGCGCCGAGCTGGAACCTGCAGGTTCCCAAGCCCGACAGACCTAACGCTGCTGCAGGCAGAGGCCCAGCCTGAGCGTAGCAGGTGCAGGAGTAATGGTGGGCATGGGATTCCAGCTTAGATGCAGCAAGCTCCTCAGATCCCCAAGTCCAAGGCCTGCTTCCGAGGGTCCCATGCACTCCCAGAGGCTCCTGTTCCCCTGGCCCCCTCTGCCTGCAGGCCCTGCCTGCAAATGGGCTCACACTATTCGATGCCCCATAAACCCAGATGTGAAATGAAGCTCTTTCCTCCATTCCCACCTAAATCCCTATTCACAGAAAGCAGATGTGAACAGAGTCAAATTTTCTAAGGACCTGGGTCTGTGTGGGTGCAGGGGCGACAGAGGGAGGAGGGGCTTATTCCACAGCTGATCAGATGACACACACAGCAGTGGAGAATTTCCCCTGCGAGCTGGGAATTTCCACTGCCTTGTCCTTGCCCCATCCTGTCTCCCTTGCCCGCCCCCTCCCTCTCAACCCTCTCCCCTCCATGCCCTGCTCTCCTCCTTCTCAGGGGCCTGAACAATTCCTCTCAAGTCTCACACAGGGCGGCTGAGCCATTTTTGTGACAATGCGGGCCCTAAGGTCAGCCAGGCCCTAGGCTCTGCCCTTTTAACCCCGGCAGCATATCAAGCTATTTTCCCAAACAAAGGGATCTCCTCCCTAAGAAGAATCTGTAGAGCTGTTGAAGAAAGTCTTCACTCTTCATCACATCTGGGGGGCCCTGACCTCACCCCCGGCCATAACTTCCTGCTCAGTGGATATGCCCTGGCTGTCTTCAGCCTCCTCAAATGCAACCTGTCTCAAAATGAGATCCTCATCTCTCTCTGTGCCCCCCCACCCCCCATGCACTCTTCCTGTTTTCTCCAGCTCAGCTGGGAGCATCTGGGAAGCATCCTTGAACCTTCTCTCCCTCCTGCCCCCAACCAATAAAGGCATCGAGTCAGGCTGCTTTGGAACCCTAAATATTTCTTGACTGTGCCCTCTTCTTGCCACCCTGCTGCCCTGTGGCCTTGAACGAGTCTCTGTCTGCGTCCTCACTCAGCTCCAATCAATTATCCACACTGCAGCCTGAGAGATCTTTCTAAAATGCAAATCTGATCCTGCTGCTCCTTTGCTAAAATCCCTTCAAAGTGTCCCTCATGCCAGGCCTACAAGGTCCTCGGGGATCCTGCTCCTCCTACCTCACCTCTCCCCACTCCTTGCTTTGTCCTGTGGCCTCACCAAATGACCAGTGGTTCCGCAACACGTTATGCTGGTCACTCCTTGGAGGACGCTCTGTCCTGTCCTTGGATAGCCTTTCCCACGTCTTTTGCTTGGGTAACTCCTAACTCATCCCTGAAGCACAGCTTCAGTGTCATCTCCTCCTTTGCTGGGTGATGACCCCTCCGTGTGCTCCCACCCCATCTGGGCACTTCTGTACACTTCAGTCACTGCAGAGTGCCGTCATGGTGATAATGTGTCTCCTTAATGAGGTGGTGAGCCCCTCTGGGGGCCGGAACCAAATTTTGCTCATCCCTACATCTAGTGTCTTGCACAGGGATTGGCCATAGTTGGTGCTTGATTAGTATATTTTTTAAAGATTTTATTTATTTGACAGAGAGAGCACACACGTAGGAGGAGCGGCAGGCAGAAGGAGAGGGAGAAGCAGGCTCCCCGCTGAGCAAGAAGCCTATATGGGGCTCAATCCCAGGACCTCGGGATCATAACCTGAGCCAAAGGCAGACGCTTAACCTACTGAGCCACCCGGGTGCCCTGTGCTCAATAAATATTTATGGATGAAAGAATGAATGAATAAAAGCTTCTTGACCTCCTGGAGGCAGGTGACTTTCATACCTACTTCATTCCAGCCAGCTCTTCTTCCGGCCTTATACCCATCCCACCTGGGACTGAGCTCTCTGAAATCTTCAAGTGGAATAGCCCAGCTCTGGTTACAGGCTCTGTCCATGCACCCTCTTCCATTCCCTTTCCTGGCCTCACCCTCCCCTCCCCAGCCAGATCCCCTGGCATCAGTGCCTCCACTGTCCTGCCCCCCCTCTTCTCTCCACCCCAGCCCCTGCATGTCTCCGTTCCTTTCTCCTCCACCGCCCTCTGGCCCCATCCAGATCTGCGCCGCTGAGCGCTGCTGGAACAACTTGCCCAGCATGCAGGCTTCTGCCACGAAGAGTCCACGGGTCCCTGGCTTCAGCAGGGGTCACAGCTCTGCTCAGCAATCCTTACACCGTCCTCAGTCGGCTCTCTCTCCCCATTCTTCTAAGGCTGACTTCCAACCTTGCCCACGCTCTCCAAGTGCCCTACTCCAGCTTTCTTCTAGCAGCTCAGCTTGCCCCCTGTCCTACCTAGAAAGAGAAACTAGCAGGTAAGACTTCTTCCCATCCTTCTTCCCCAGCCACAAACCCACCTGCCATTGCTCCATGCCCTCACCAGCTTCCCTCTGGCCCTGAAGAAGAGGCAGCCCTTCTCCTGTCCAGTCAGGGGCCCCTCCTTGTGCTCCTGGCTCCCTTTGAGTGACTGGGATCCTCTCTGGGCTGGTCCCAGTCTCATCTGGGGTTTTTCACTTCTCCCTCTCAAGGCTGAGACTTGAAAATGGGACCTGGGTAATCCCAGAGTTGTGGAGAGACTGTGGGTTTGAGGAAGGCTTTCCTCTTTGTCTCTTTCAAGACTTTGCTCACGTCCAGTTCCTCTATGAAGCCTGCCCTGATTCTCCTCTCCAGCCAGTGGCTACTTCTGGCTTTGACCTCCTCAGGGCCTCCCCTGTTCTGGTGGGGACCCATGCTTGCCTGGTCTCAAAGAGGCTTTCAATAAATGCTCGAGGAAGGAAGGAATGTGGCCACGGGGGCAGCGTGGGTGACCCTCCTCCCTGGCACGGTGGGCTGTCCCAGGGAACCTCAGGGCATCGCTCTCCTTCCCTTCCTGCAGACAGGGCCGCAGAGGGCTCCCCTACACCCCACCGAGCCGCGGCGAGGCGCACCTGTAGGCCAAGCAGCCGACAGCACTAACGCCTAGCTGGTGAGGGCCTTTGATAAGGCAGCACGGGCGAAAGCGTTCACACGTCGCCATGTATGCCGCACCCCTGACCAGTGGGTAACTTTTGTGAGCTCAGTTTCCCCACTTATAAATGGACATAATTCTCGTTGCCCCATGTGTCATTTGGGGTAAATGTGCTGATACCTAGGAGAGTGTCTCTGAGCCAAGAAAATTTTGGTTGTTCGGATCGCCCTCCCTCACCCCTCCAGGGAGACAGGTGTGAGGACTGGGGTGGGGTGGGAAGGGTCCCGGTTGCCATGGCAGCTCCCGGACAAGCAGCTCCCGGGGCCCCTGCTCTGGGCGCTGGAGGCTGAGAGAATCAAGGGCAGCCGGAGCCCTGGTGTCCAGCTGGTCTAGAGCAGCGCCTCCTGGGGCCCTGTCTGGCCCGGCACAAGGTTGTTCAGCCCCTGAGGCCAGGTGGGCACGGGCCAGGGCTTTGCTCCAGCTCCAGCTAGCACCTCCCCGGACCCTGCCAGTCCTGGGCTCTACTGGGAAGCTCTCAGGTCCCTCATGCTCAGAGGCCCTTTGCCAAGGCCCCACGCCCAGCTGCCTACAGCTGCCTGTCGGTGGCCGTGGGCTTTTAACCCCCTAGAGGCCTGTCCAGCTGCTGTGGCGGCTAAATCCGCGGGGAGTGGGGTGTGTAGGTGTGCGCACAAGGGGCAATGGGGGCTCTGACTGAGGTGCTCTCAGTTCGGGGAAACAGAGGGGGAGCAAAAGGGAGGGGAAGGAGGGAGGTACTAGGAGAGCAGAGGAGGGAGAAGGAAAGCACCGCAGAAAGGGAAGGATTCGAGGTGTTTTCCCTCGCATCATCTCACCAATCCTCCAGAATTGTGGAAGCCTCGTCCACACCTGACAGAGGAAGCTGAGGCTCCAGAGGGGCTTCGAGAGCTCACCCACCCCTCAACCCCTCCTCCTATCCCCCTAGACACCTGCGGCCAATTTCTTCCTTTACCCTCAGCCCTCCTCCATCTCCCCATCATGTCCCCATGTCCACCTTCCTACCAGGTGAAAACCAGCAGGCCCTGGGCAGAGGGGGAGGGGAGGAGTAGGAAACCTCCCGTAGGATTACCAAGGCTTTTCCCGGCTTCCATTTCCAGGTGGAGCAGAGGCTCAGGGGGTGACTGAGCACGTGTGTACTTGGGTGTGATGCACGGAGCCAGGTTCCCAGGTCTGGTCCTCAGCAGCCCCGTGAGAGAATGGGGGAGGGTTGATGTGGCTCTTCACACACGCACGCGCACACACACGCGCACACACACACGCACGCACACACACACCCCGCGTGAGCAGTTTATGCCCAGCAGACACGGCCCCTTGAGTACAACTGAAGGTCAGTGTAGATGTGCAGGGCTACTGTGTGCGTGTTCATGTGTGCGCTGGCCTCTGTGCGCTCCGGAACCGAGCGGCCTCCAAGTTCACACATCAAGGAACACAGCGCCCCCTGCTGGCCAAACCACCCGCCGCTGCATCTTGAGGGCCCAAAGCCCTATGGGGACCCGCACCCTCTGGCCAGGCCAGGCCTGTACTCCCTCGAATTGGGTGCCCCACCCATCCCTGAGGGTCTGTCTCCCGTAGGCCCACCGTTCACCACGTTATGCTCCCCTTCCGACCCATCAAAAAAGGAACGCAGGTCGCTGGGCTGGAGGGAGAGGCTGGAGGGAGAGGCCCAGTCATGTCTGTGCCTGTACCTGAGGCCTGTGGGGGCGAGAGGGGTAGGGGTCCTCTCTTCTGCATCCCCTCCCGGATAGTGGACTGGGGGTAGCTGCTTCCTGGTGGCCTAGGGGACACAGGCCTGAGGGACTCCCCCTACCCCCGCGTGGCTAGGGCCCAGACCCAGGATTTGTGTTAGAGGAAGCCCAGCCGCTGCGGATTCGGTGGACGAGGTCCCCCCCCTGCTGGTCGGAGCTGGGATTTGCGGCCTGGCTCGAGGGTAGGGGCCGGGGTGGATGAGGGCAGGTGAGGGACTACTCCTTTAAGGGGGCCCTGTGAGGTACACACACACACACACACCCCTTTAGGGGGCCCTGTGAGGTACACACACACACACACACACACACACACTCTCCCATTTACCGATACTAGGCTCAAGTTTGAAGGAGGGCTAGGAAGTCTGGCCCTCCTCACCCACGTTCCCTGGGACTGACACTGGCCAGCCAGGGTCTATGGCTTCTTCCACGCCGCCTCAGTCCCTCTCCTGACCCTACTGGCCCCTTCTCTTCAGAGGCAAAGCTGTAAGACCACAGGAGAGGTTCCCATTCCGGAGAAGCAGGAACTCAGGTTCAAACACTCTCAGGAGAGCAGGTGCCCAGAACTGGAGTGTGGCTGGGGTACCAGATGTGTATGTGCTATGTTCTGTTCACACTAGTTTATTGAACACTCACTGAGGTGCTGGCCCTGTTTTCCTTCCGTCCCCTGTCTCACTTTATGTTCCCAACAACCCATGAGGTGGGTACAAGTATCCCCATTTTATAGATGAGGGCTCCCTGCTCAGCGGGGAGTCGGCTTCTCCCTCAGCCCCTCCCCCTGCTCTTGCTCATGTGGGCACTCTCTCTCTCTCTCAAATAAATAAATAAAACATCTTGCAAAAAACAAAACAAAACAACAAAAACCCACAACTCAGAGAACCCATGTTACCCAAAGTTGCAAAATAGGATTTGAACTCCAAGCCAGACTCCTTAACTATGATGCAGGGCTGTGTCCCGAGCTGCTCCCCATTTTCCCTACAGAGAGCAGAATGGGCCCAGGTATCTCACTCCCTTAATCTTAAACCAGTCCCTCAGCAACCCTGTGAGGGAAGCATTTTTATCCTTGTTTCATAGCTTAAGAGACGGAGGCTCAGAGAGTTTAAGGCGGCTTCCTGAGGAGTGTCAGGGACAAGGGGACAAGGGCAGAGCAGAGCCACAGGCCCAGAGGGGAAGACAGTGAGAAGAGAGGCTGGCCGAGGCAGGAGTGAGGAGACGCAGAGAAAGGCTGGGCTGGCTGTGCCTCCTGGGTATGCTGGGGGGTGAGGCAGGGAGCTTCTCCCTCCGACCGCAGGCTCCCAACATGGCACCTTTTTGGAAGAGTGAGGTGCAGAGAGGGGAGTCCACGGCTGTGTCTCCTTCCTGATGACAGAGCCCCTTGGCATCTCAAGGGGCTGTCAGCTGGTTCAATTCTTCTCCACCCTGCCTGGCACACCCTGGCACTGGGGCCAGGCCCTCCTCAAGTGGCAGAGACTTGACATAGCTGAGGTGGGAGGGGCGAGCAGGTGAGCGACTGGGTGAGGACCACTCCTCTGCTCCCACGGCCCCCTCCTGACCTCTAGCTCTGTTTCTGTGTCTTGGTCTCCTCTCCCTCTCTCTCTTTCCGACCTCACCTCTCTGCCGCTCTAAGCCTTCCCTCGCCTCAGCTTCCCTGTCCTTCCACAGAGAACTATGCAGACCATGGAGAGCATAAGGGATGACAAAGAGGAGACTGACTGTCCAGAAGGACAGAGACGATCAGTCAGAGTGTCCCAAGGAGAGGGTCTAAGGAGAGACGAGGCAGAACATGAATGTCAGTGGTTTATTGGTAAGCCCCTGCTCCAAACACCAGCAGCCCTACCCCGTGCATCCTCGAGCAGAAATAAATAAGGCAGCGTTTAATGAACCAGTTTGTCTCCCTCCTTAGGCAATCTGGGGAGGGGCAGCCTCTGCAGTCCTAGGGACCGGGACCCCTCTGGCTCTTAACCGGGGGGCGGTGGGGGAAGATAGGGGCATACAGACTGCTGGCCACTCCTTCCTAGCTTGGCCCCAGCGCAGCCTATAAGCTTGGTGCTACTTTCACAGTCTCTGAGGTCTGACCTCATGGCAGCAGTCTGCCCTGTCCCAGAGAGACCCCCTCCCCATCAGACACCAGCCCCTGGCCCCAACCCAAGAGTCCCATCATGGGTTACTGCTCCTATCCCTAACTGTGAAGCTGGGAGAGCCAGCACCTCCTCCCTAGCCCAGAGGACCCAGCTGTAGGGGAAGGAAGCTTTGCTGTCATATATATATATATATTTGCCCCTATGATTCAGGGGCTGGGGGGCTGGCCCCTGCCTGGCACTGGTCAGTGGACAGTCAGCTCCATGGTCTTCTTTCGCTCCTCTCGTTGCTCTTCCCAGTCCTCCTCAGGCTCATATGTGCCCTTGATGATGGCCACACGCTCACTCAGGCTCAGGGAGTTGGGGAAGAGTAGGTAGAAGTAGAGGATGGCAGCCAGGATGGCCCCCACGATGGGCCCTACCCAGAACACCTGGCGGGGACATGGCAGTGTCAGGGGGCTGAGTCTCAGGCCTCAGAGACCAACAGCTTCCCCTCCAGAGGACAGACCCGTGGACCATCAGAGGAGGTGGACCTACAGACTTCCAGACCTCCAGAGGGAGAGATTTCCTCCTGCCCAAGGAACAGATATACTGACACCCTATTCCTCAATGACAGGGACTTGGCCTACAGACACTCAGATCTTCAAAGGAGACAGATCCCCAGAAGGACAGGGCCCCCCAGCCTCACCCTAAAGACAGACAAATGACCCTTCGGAGGAAAAAGACATGTAGATTCCCGGAGAGACAACAGAACTCCTCTCCTTCCCACACAGGGAATGAAACAGACCCTGGAGAGAGAGAACATGAGGAGGCGACAGATAGACTGTCCAGAGGGACAGGCCCACAGGAAGGAAGACTCTCAACCCCCTCAACTGGAACAGATAAATAAAACATCAGAGAGGACAGACACACAGACACGTTGCCCTCCCCCCCACCCCCGTCCCACCCCAGAAGGACAGACACAAAGTCCTCAGAGATTTACACAGAGGAACAGATCTCCTTCCCTTCTTCAGAGGTATACCCCCCCACCCCACCCGAGCCCCAAACCAGGGTCCTCTGCCATTTAACTGCCCTTGTCCTTGTTCTGGTTGTGTCCCATCCCCTTCTATATCCCTTTCTCTCTCCAGCCACACCTCCCAGGGCCACCCCCAAGCTCTGGGCCCACAGCATCTGGACAGTCCCGGGGCTCTTGGCCAGGTTTCCAGGCCCTCATTGCCAGGGAGCCAGGGTAGGGCCGAGACTCACCCAGTGAGCAGCGCTGAAGCGATTCATAACCACTGCGGGGCCGAAAGAGCGGGCTGGGTTCATGGAGCAACTGGTGAAGTAGATCTGGACAGAGGGAGGGAGGTGGCGAGGGGGGGCAACATGTTTGTCCAACTCCTAAAGGCCCGGTCTTTCCCACAGTCACCCAGAAGTTTAGGGGCTCAGCCAGGTCTCTGAATCAAAGTCTCCCAATTCCTAGGCTGGTGACTTCTCCCTCCACGAGTCCCCATGCACCCTTCTTTCTTCTCAAGTCCTGTGCTTGGGCTTGATTTCCTGCCTTCACCCCAACTCCCACTTACTGCCATATTCCCTCAGGCTAGAGAAGATTTCAGGGGATCCAGCCTGGGACAGGGTACAGCAACCCCACTCCAGGCCTTAACTGCTGGGGTTCCTGGTTCAGAAGGGTGCTGCTCTAGGGCCCCATTATTTGCCTCGAGGGGCTTCCCACAACTCCAGCCAAGTGGCCTTGTTGCTCACCCCCACGAGGTGGCCCAGTGTGACGGAAAGGCCAATGGACAGGGCCGGAGAGCCCACAGGACTGGTGCGGCGGGTGTCGGTGGAGGAGAAGATGCAGAGTGCCAGCTGGAAGGTCAGAATCAGCTCCACTACCATAGCTTGGCCCTGGGTTGTGTTGTTGTTGAGCTGCAAGGGGAGGGTGGGTTAGAACCCCTGCCTTCCAGCTCTATGGCCGGGGGCTTGGGGGATGGGCTCTTGGCCTCCGAGGACCCTTAGAGTCATTGTACCTGGAGGCCAAGCCTTGCGCACATCAGGAAGGTCATTTGCTGAAAAGACTGAAAAGACCTGACAGTGTGCGCAAAGCTTGGGAGCATAGGCCTGTGGCCAAGGAGCTGAGGGTGAGAGGAGCTTTTCCTGGACAAGGTCCTGTCAACGGTTCTGCCCAGTTCCCACCCCCACAAGCTGGCATGTACCCTCCCTCCTGTGGGCAGCTGCCCAGTTTGCCTACTGCACCCCCAGACTGCCTCCCGCCTGCGTCTGACCCGCCGCCAGTGCCAACCTCAAACCCGTCTCTCCGGTGGGGCTGACTCACGGCTTGACAATGGCCGAGAAAATCCTCCTCTGTGTTTGATTAATGAACCCAGTTTGCATGGGACATGGGGACTGAATCTGGGACTGTGGGAGGGGGTGAGAGCAGGGAACCAGGAACAGGAACCCATATTCGACAGACCCTACACACGGGCACCACATTAGGAGGTTCACATGCATGGTTTCTTTTTTTTTTTTTTTTTTTAAAGATTTTATTTATTTATTTGAGACAGAGAGAATGAGAGAGACAGAGAGCACATGAGAGGGGGGAGGGTCAG